ATTTGTTTTTCTATTGGTTAAAATATGGTTATGTGTATGGGTAATTGTGTTTTTATATAGGAAATATGTAAAATTAATTGTTTCCTTAATCCGTGTGCATAGCTGTAGAGTGACACTTATATTGAAACAGAGGGAGTATGTAATATTTGTTTGAAGAAGTGAACGCAAAAACTGAAGGCTGAAGGCTGAAGGCTGAAGCTAGAAGTGAAAGGGATACTTGAAACAATAAACATTGAACCCGTCCGTAAATCAGTGATCTGTTCGTAACTGTCTATACGTGGAAAATCATCTTACTTTATGCAAGAACCAAACAAAAAAGGAATCAGTGATTTTTCTAGAAAATCAAGTGTAGAGAAAAAACAAAAAACAGGATTGTAAACAAAATAATGAGAATAACTTACTGAAAACAATCAACGTTGCAAGAAAACTTGGAGAATCAACTATATGAGATCTTTATAAATTGTATCATTACTGGAACTGGAAGTCTGGAGAGATGGACGGTCTTTAGAAGAGAAAGAAGAAATCTGATAAATAAAATTTTATGTCTAAAAAACTCACATTAACGGCAAACTACTATTTAATACTAATTATATATTATTTTTAGTTAATTATAATTTGGTGAAAATTTATGCAGATTATTATAAAGGATATTTTGATTCTATAAATTTAGATTTCTAATTTCGTTTTACTACAAAATAACATTTATAGTTTACAACAAAAAAGTTAATACTATTATATATAAAAAATTAAAATTTTGGGTTCCATCAGCAGTGGATCCTGGAATGGTTGCACTGCTGGCACGTAGTCTTAAGCTGACCTGTGTTCCTCAACTGTTGCAACAGATGGATGATATGAGATGGTACTATGTGGATAGATCTTGGAAGGAAAATGATATTTTTTGCATGACAACGTTGCTTATGCAGTTTTGGAGGCTCAAGTGATCAAATTATGAGAACTGTGAATATCCGTTGAAGCTTATCATTTTTATTTATTGCAGGATTGAAATATTGATTTGGGAAATGAAGTGTATAAAGCTATTACAGATTTCAGAAGTAGGATTTACAACTGATTATTCTAAATATATGAAAATGGTATCTACACCACAAATTCTAAATTAGTGAAAATGGTATCTACACGACAAAATGACCAGTTTTCTTTATCCACTTGAAGGTATCACGATAGTGTAAAAACTTTTTCCCTAATTATATATTCTGATACATTCTCAGAGCAAACAATACAATGACAGATAACCTTAAACGAGGTGCTTTAAATCTTCTGTCTATTATGGTTTATGTTGATTCAACACCACCAGTATGGTTCTTTAGATCGGTGGCTAGTTAGGAATATTAGAGTTCTTTCTCTTTGGCTAAAAAGTATATAGGTGATTTGTCGATAGTGTTAAATAATTTACACACTTAAACTAGTGTTATTGTGTTAACCGGGTTGGTTGGTTACAAAAGTTTAATCTAAAACAAGACGAAAAGAAGAAAAAAAAAAGATCATAAAATCCGTAACGTTTAGATATCGACCAGTTAAAACAAATTTAGCACAAACAACTTAAACATCAAATTGTGTTTGAATTTTTAAATCTAATTATTTAGTTGACTAAAACAGAACAATATAAATAGTTTAATAGATTCATAAAACAGAATTTTGTTTTGAAAAATGTCAAATTGATCAAAAAGAAAAATAACGTTTATTGACAATTGAGTGCAGCTTTTAGGTTGTGTTTCTGAATTTTACAAGAAACTATACTCTGAGTGTACACCATCTTTGAGAAGAGTACCAGGCCCGAGGTCTATCCATATATTAAACTCTGAAGATTCGTTTGTTTGTCGATGAGCTGATAGAGCCGAGAGGAAGACGTATGAGCCTCTCTATGTCTTCTTGCATATATATCTTTCCCTTTAGATACTATGTATCATTGCATCATTGCTTACAAAAAAAGATACTATGTATCATTGCTTAAAAGATATACTGAACGAGAAATTGAGTAGTACGACTGATACTATCATCTGAAGAATATTAACAAGAGAAGAATAAGTGATCTCTTGTCTCGTGTGAGTCAGCACATAAGACACAACTCTCACTCTGACTCCAAGTCTCCAACCTTCCAGGATGTTCATGTTTTCACATTTTGAAAAGCAGTTTCTTGTCGCTAACCACGTAGAGAATAAAAATTTCTAAGTACAGGTTAACTAAGATATCTTTATGCCAAGCAACGTTGGCTGAAGGCTGTCTCGTATTTATACCACGTATCCTTCGTCTTGAACGTCGGATATCTTTCCAAAGAATCACATTACGTGTGTCATTACTTTTTCTTTTCCTCTGTTCTTGTGGCTCTCTTGCAAGCATATTTAATGTCTCCAAGCAATGCGTTCTTCTCCTCCTAATTTCAAAAGCATCAGCCATTGTTGCTAGCTTACTAATTAATTCCCTAATCAATATTTCTACCTTAATCAAATGGATCAGACAACCCATTTTTACCATGACTCATACCAAAAAGACTTACTGCTTCCGCTCTTCATTTCCAATTTTCATAGCTTGTTGGCTTCATCTCTATAAAGACTACACTTCAATATTTCCCTCCACATCCATGGACCTTTACTAGTATTCTTATGAATCGATCATATGGGTTCGTTGTTGAGCAAATAGGTGTTTATCTAGGAGAGCCATAAGGATGGTGATCTGCATACTACTCTCCACAGTAGTTTTAAACAGCTAACGTCTTTTAATGATCTCAATCCTAAACCCCCTTCACACTTCGGTTTACTGGCATCCTCTACTTCTCGAATGCATTACTGTGGGAGTTGAAAATGCCGCCATCCAAAATTTGTAATACTTCAAGGTATCGAAGCTAAAAGGTTTGATATCCCAAACAAATTAAGAATTTGTTAGTACATGAACCAATCTGAGACCTTAGCTTTTCAAGTAGAATTTGTTACCAGCAAGCGACCCAAAAATTGCACTGATACTGTGCCATAATTGCTATGAAACCGCTTTCACTTCTCTAGTTGAACATTTTTGGTGATTTTTCAGTACTGATCTTTAGACCCGATATCTTATCGAATTCTTCAAAAACTTCAACCACTGCTTCCACTTAACATACTATGCCATTAGTCAAAACCATGAGATCGCCGCGAAACTCAAATGTGTTAGACTAATATTTTAAAATTTTGGATAATAGCCTTAAGAATTCCCAACTGCGGCTCGATCAAGTAATTTGGATTGAACATTTATACACACAAGTCACAACAAATAGATAGGGAGAAAGCCAACAACCTTGGTGTAACCCTCTATTCCTCTGAAAACAGAGATAACTAACATGTTTTAGGTAAATGTGTTTAATGACATGTTAATTAACTTTGTTTTATGATTCTTTAAACCACTTAATAATCCTTTTAATTTGTTTTTTTAACAAAACTTTAAGATTTAAACTAAAATTTAACTATAACTTAAAATTTTAAATTATACTATGCGCTAAAGGTTGTGTTTTGTGAATGACCGAAAGGAAAATCTTTAAAAAAGATTTATGATCATTTATTTCCCAATAACTATTTCGACAGGCGGTACAAAAAAATAAACCATTCCTGCAGTATCAAACTATTCTCAGCTTATATATTGCTCTAAATCAAACCAAGCTAAGAAAGAAAAAAAAATTCATCTGTGGAGGAATATTAAATGAAGACAGAATTAAATAAAACAAATTAGATTAATACATATGCAGTATATTACTCCAAATTCGACGTGTCGACTAAAGAAATGAAAGTAAGAAGCAGCTTCTGAGGAAAAAAATGAATCATCGAAACAACTGAAATATAAAATTTGATTTGATCATATATATGGGAATCAAAAAGACGTGTTGATTAGCGAAAGATACGGCGATGTTTTTGCTTCTATGTTCTTTGCTTCTCTTAATTAATAAATATTTTGTGGTTATATAAGTCTGAGTCCATTAATTTCACCTTACCGCCAGCTAACAATCCCGATGAATTACTCATAAATACTGTAATACAATCACTTTAGTTTACATCCGCCCATTTTTTATGTCACTCGAAAAGATAATGATGTATATGATATGAGATCCACACATTTTCCCGACATCTAGATTTTTCTATGCCAATTTAAAATTAATTACTAAGATTATAATGTTGAGCATGTTCAATAAACAGTGGTTAATTGTATTTTATGACAAATTTTCCACGACTTTTACTATCAAGCCGTCAAATTAAAATGACTACAACTATTTGCATTAGATAACTTACTGATAACATTTTTGTTTCGCACCAATTACCCGAGAAAAGACCCAAATTTTAAGGTAATGAATCAATTGGAGATAAATATATGAATCCAATGAATATCCAACTGAACAAAATATATGTCTAAACTAAGTGATTCGAACTGTATCCGATGATGAAAAAAGACTGGATCTCAAACGCTACTCGTATTCACAAAACCCAGTTGTGTCGAACCGAACAAGATCCAAGAAAATAATCGAATGTGGTCTAATTTCAAGACCTAAATAACTCAATATATTAAAGTACTGACCCGGATCCGAACGGGTGTTGAATGCTCAAAGCTACAGCTAGAGAGGGTTGAGACATTGACTCCAAAATAAGTGAATAACACACACGTTCAGTAACCCTAGGACCTATTAAAAAAAAAAAACCTCGGGGCCTATATACGTTAAGGCATGCAACCATTCCAATTTTTGCTTTTAAAGTTAAGGACAATGTACATCAATTATTTATAGCTAGAATTAAGAACTGTATAGTCTGTATGCATTCATGACTTCGAAGATTCAAACTGGTAAGATTAAGAAAATCAACATAACTATTGGGGTTGATATAATGCCAGCTTCTTTTTAATTAGTTAATCAAATTCAATAAACTAAAAAAAAAAATCCTAAAAATACGTCATCAGTTCAAATATAATAATAGACATAACCACTTATATAAACCTTTACCATAACATATAGGCACTTCTCATCTACGAGAGATAAAACACACACAAAACCCTAAAACACTCATCAACACCTTAAACTTATTAGTGTCTAATGGCACTCGTTAATGACCATCCCAACGAGCCAACGTACGTCTCAAAACAAAACTCCTCATCCCAAGATCTCTCATCACCGGAGAACTACGGATTGGATCAGCCGGACGCAGCTTATGCCGGAGGTGGAGGACATTCGGCCTCGAGCAGCAGCACGTTGAATTCAGATCATCAACAAAATCCTCAAGGGTTTGTATTTTACCCTTCCGGCGAATCCGTTGAAGATCACAACTCTTTGTTAGATTTCAACGGATCCTCTTTTCTTAACTTCGACCACAACGATGATCGTCATGAGAGCTTTCCTCGTCCAACCATAAGTTGCGGTGGTGGTGGCAGTGGCTTCTCTTTTTTGGAAGGCAACAACATGAGCTACGGCTTCACAAACTGGAACCAACATCATATGGATATTATTAGCCCTAGACACATCGAAACTCCGGGGACAAACCAAGTCAATAAAGACTGGTTGTACTCTGATTCAACTGTTGTAACCACTGGTTCTAGACATAAGTCTGTCTCGCCTAAATCCACTGGACATAAACGTTCTTATACGGTAATTATAAAGGTTAAACACGTAGCTTTTGTGAAATTTTCTATATGAAAGATGACATGGTATCATTGAATTATGAATAGGGAGAGAGCAGTCAACCACCCTCAAAGAAACCCAGTGGCGGCGCAAAAGGGAAAGCTAAGCCTAAGCCAACAACTTCACCTAAAGATCCACAAAGCCTAGCAGCCAAGGTTTCTTTTCTTTACAGTTACAATTTTTTATATAAAACCTAAGAATGTCATTTTATTAATTTTGTTAACTCATACCTTAGTATATGTTTTTGTTTCCTTTAGAATCGAAGAGAAAGAATAAGTGAACGTCTCAAGATACTGCAAGAACTTGTTCCCAATGGCACCAAGGTATACATCTAGAAAATATTTATGTCAAATTAATAAAATATCAAATTAAGTGTTTTGATGATGATATGTGTTATTTCTTGCAGGTTGATCTGGTAACGATGTTAGAGAAGGCCATTAGTTATGTAAAGTTTCTTCAAGTTCAAGTTAAGGTATATTAATTGTGACAAACATCCCGCAATCTTTTCTTTCACGAGATTGATTGATCATATATATAAACATAATTTTATTTAGTTAAGTAATATTGCTATAATGATGCAAAAAGTAATATTGCTATAATCTACTGTTTGTTAGGTACTTGCGGCCGATGAGTTTTGGCCGGCACAAGGAGGGAAAGCTCCAGATATTTCTCAAGTTAAAGACGCCATTGATGCTATCCTCTCTTCATCACAACGAGGCAGGAATTCGGATCCAGTCACCAATTAATGAAGAGTTTAAATGTAATGTAATTTAATTAATTACTCAGCAGTATTACGTTGTAGTAATATCGGGAAGCACAATGATTCTCTCGAGAGCTTCCACAAAAAAAGTTTTAAATACGTTCCAAAGATTAAATAACGTTAAATATGTGAAAAATCGAGAAGTTCTTAACACATCAATATTGAAGAGAAGACAAGAGATATTCAAAGCACCGATGATCATTTCGATGTTGGGTCCACACGAGGATGGAATCTTTAAATAGTACTGTAGTAGATAGTAAGTAATAAAACTTAATAATATACACAAATGTTTATCTTCCCTTTTCTGTTTTTTTTTTCTCTACCGGATATAGATCTTGTAATAGAAATTTAAATTCCAAGAAATGAGTAATAAAATTCTGCATTTTTGGATTTTTGGGCCTTCGCTTTCAGAGAATCTATCTGATTTACCACCTTTCGAGTCTATTTAAATTTCAGCATGAGTGCTTTTTGAGCAACATGCTAATCTATTTTAAGTTCCCCAAATACATATACTACTATTATTAAATGCATTTCCACATTCTCATCAGCTTGAATTATTAAAACATATGGATGGTAAAGTACAACACAATTTCGATCATTAGATGGCTATATTACATATAACAGACAACTAGATCATAACCCACCCGACTGGGCGGGTATTTATTTTTATGGTATATATAAACATTTCAAAAATTACAATCGAATGGTTCTAATTTGACTAAGTAATAGTACATTATTTAAACATTGTATTTCATCACTGTATTGTGTAACGGGGGCGTCGCAAAATATTGTGACCCGTAAACATTTTATTAATAGTTTATAATTTTTTTTTTGCTAAATTTGGTGCAAATTTATATACATTAAACAATTTATTCAAATTTTAAGTTAATTTTTTAATGAAGAATTGAAAGGCTAGTATATCACTGTTAAAAATTTATAACAATAGTCAATATAAATTATATAAATAAAATATATATTATTCTTGATTTATTTTAAATACATTTAAAACATGAATACATATATGTATAAATAATTTTCAGAAATAAAATA